GAAAGGGGGCGGCTCTTCCGTAAGTAGAGAGTACAGCAGAGAGGTGAATATCCCCCGAGACGTTGACCCACTTTCACTGCAGTGCACACTAAACCCAGAAGGTTACCTTGTGGTCCACGCGCCACTTCCTGCCCCAAACTATAACGCCATCAAAGATTCTTCTAACGTGTCCAGTGTATCGCCCGGCGTCGTCAAATCTTCGTCCAGCTACCAGACATCATCTTCCGTTTCCTCAAAGCCCCAAGCCGCAGCCATCTCTGGAGCGAGTTCACCAGCATTTCCTCAGCAGCAGAGTCGACTTATCCAGCACCATATTTCCTCTAGTAGTAAACCCCCACCAACGTTTGCACCGCCACCCGTCTACAACCACGAGGAGACCCTGAGTCATCCAGATCATGTGATTCCATCTTTCAAACCTCCACCAGACTTGAGTAAATTGGACATGCTTGACAGCATCCCTTCCAGGATCACCAGCCACCAGCTGCATTCTGCCCCACCCTCCCACCTACAGAACTCAACCTTTTCTAAGCCCCCTCCCTTTAGTTCATTAAGTTCAACTTTCCCATCTGGCCCTATTTTCCCAGAGTCTTCCAGCCAGGCCCAGCTGAGCACTCCTGTGGTGACATCCCACGATGGCAAGTTTCAACTGACAATGCCAATCGATGAGTTCAGGCCCGAGGAGCTGACCGTCAAGACACAGGATGGAAAGGTCATCATCTGTGCCAGACGTGAAGTCACCACAGGAAACCGAGCCCAAACCATGGAAATGACAAGAGAGCACAGCCTGCCTGACAACGTGGATCCTCTAACAGTCAAGGCCTTCTTCACAGACACTAACAACCTTATTGTGGAAGCACCATTTCTTCGAAGCTGAGTTTTAAATTAAAAAACATTCTCAATATAATAAAAGCAACAAGCTTAGACATGGTGCAGAGTAAAATGGTCTGTTGGCTAAAAAAAATTTAGCAACTTTAGGACGCCATAAAATATTCTTTTCAGATTGAAAGGATTTTTTTAAAACAGTGTTTTCAAGTAGAGACTCTTAGTTTTAGACATGTTTGTCAAAAACCTAATGGACTATAACTGCTTGGACTATAAATCTATGAACTATAATTATTTGGACCCTACAAAAATGTCAGTTACGGTATCCTTAGACAATGATCAATGGTGTTGAGCGTCTCAAACTATTTTGTTTCGCCACTTCAAAGGTGAAATGGTTAAATAAAATACATTTACAAAAGTTAAAACAAAAATAATTCCTGTCAAATGTGTCAGAAACAGCCTTTCATTTTCGGAATGTGTAGTTGCAACCCTTTAAGGTTCTGTACACTTTTATTTTGCATTTCTTTGAACACATCATTTTTCTTCAGGTATAAATTATAAATGATTTTTTTTTTCAAATATATTTTGCCATAATATTTAAAGTATAGGAATTACCAATAGGCCTATAATATAATGAAATGAATGTCAAGAAATTAATCTTATGTAAATATTTAATTTATTATTAACACTTTGAATCTCCAGACAAATAAAAAATATTGATATTGCATAATTTTCTAATAAGTCATAGAGCAGTTTAAAATTTATCATTCAAAATATCACAAAATATCAAATAGACAAATAATTACTGTGGCTTTCAAAACTTATACAAGAACTCATCATGTAACTAATTTAAGATACCTGCATCCGAATACACACTAAAATTATTTCCATTGTTGAATGCTCAGAGGAGGAAATCTAATAATAAATGAGATTATAATTTATTTTTAAATATGTTAAGTATGTATAATTACATCACAAATACTGCAACAATATTCACCAGCTTAAATGTCGCTGAATTTTTTTCCGCTTTGAATGTGCTTTAGGCTGCATTATTTCGTACTTAATTATTAATATTTATTTAAATGTAAGAAATAATTCTTGTTCACTTTTCGTGGTAAAGAATATTTTATTGACAGTTTCTTGTAATTTACATCCCTTGAACCATATTTTTGAAGTATTTGTAAAGCAATCAGTGCATGTGAGCTATATTAATATTCATTATCCATATTTATTGTTAAATAAATATTATAAAGAAATCTTAAGTAATATGCAGCAATTTGGAATCAACATGAGGGCATTTTTTTAAATCAAATATCACATGAAGTTATATTCTAAATATTTACCATAAACATAACATTTGTGTGGTGGGAAAAATTGAATAATCGAGTAGGTTGAGCAGCATGGAGAGGCTGAGCTTGGTTGAGAGGTTGAGCAGGGTTGGGAGTTGTGAGGAATTGGGATGCATATGGTTTATTAAGGTTTTTTTTTTTTTTTTTTTACATTAATTTAGGAGATGAACTGAATTGTGAAATGTTAAAATGTATGACTCGTTTTGAAGTTGCAACAAAACCGATTTTCATAATGCCTGCAGGGGTTGAATTTGTGGTCACCTGCAGGCCGTCCCATGCTTAGGAGTTGTGAGGAATTGGGATGCATATGGTTTATTAAGGTTTTTTTTTTTTTTACATTAATTCAGGAGATGAACTGAATTGTGAAATGTTAAAATGTATGACTCGTTTTGAAGTTCCAACAAAACCGATTTTCATAATGCCTGCAGGATGTCAACTTGTGGTCACCTGCAGGCCGTCCCATGCTTGTTGGTACTACCACTGCTCATTAAAAATCTGTCAGGAGACTGAAGTGGGGCACTCAGGTTTCAAGGGGACAGAAGTGCTTTGCTTAAATAAGAAGATAGTTTATCCTAATGTGATGTATGTGTGCATAACCCAGTTCACGTGTGCGCTTGAGTAAAGCCCCCTGTTCACAATTCTGTGTTCCCTCTAAATCTTTGAGGCCGTATGAGAAACATTTTAGTTGTAGGTTTGTAACTTTGTTGAAAAATGTTGGTTGTCATACTTGACCTCGACCTCTCTGTCTCTGTCAATCCCGTGTGCCTCATGCTGACCTGTCATGTCGCATCTGAGCTGATGACACAGAGTTGCAGCTCCGGTATGCTGGGCCAAGGGAAAGGGAGGTGCTGGGGTGGTGAGTGATGGGGAAACAAGAAAAGGTGATTTAAAAACAAAAATCTAACCCCCCTTATTTACAATAACCATCAGTCCTAACTGTATGATTTTGGAGTGGGGGGAAAAGGGTTGCGGCAGGGGCGTTTCTGCAGTTAGACTCAGTCATTAAATTCTGCTTTTTACTTTTTCGGCTTGTAAAAAGCTAAGTCACTTTATCCAAGATTTGGTAAGCATTCATTGTTCAAAATATTTCTTCTTTCTTCCATAATTTACAGATTAAATTTTTCATTCTTAAAAGCGGAATATAAAATTTAAAAATTGTAAAAAATTTTATTAAAGACTTTCTTTCAAAGACAATTTTAGCACAGTAAAAATTCGAACAAAATATTTTCTTCTTTTTGGTGCCTTTCAAATCTCTTCAAAAGTATGTCTTTTTTTCAATCTTCTTTTATTGCAGAATGAAATAATGCAAAACCAATGAGTATTCTCCATGCATTACCATAAGATTGGTTTATGAAAGGCTTTAGTTTTTTATTTTTTTATTTTGCAAAGGGAAGTTTTAAAATAAAAGATTTAATACTTGTTTTTTTTTTTTAAACAGTTAGTTATGGATAATTGATAGATATTTTTCATCCAATCATTTTTTGTGCCCCTGCGTTACAGATCATAGAATACACACCATCATGCAAATATCTTAGAAGGAATTTGACTATAGACATAATTCTGCCATAACGTAGAACTTTTCTATTTCTTTTTAAATCATCTCTACCGGAATTTACACTATTTACTTTTTTGCTTATTTGAATGTGATGCCATCTTAAACTTTTTTGATTAGACTGCTGAAGGTGAGAAGTATGCTGCCCTCCTGCTATGTGGATCTAGCTTATCTTCCTGGGTATTGATATTTGAATTGTTGTCATGTTAACTCATATTTAATTTTACACATATTTGAAAACCTGTCTCATTATTATGAACAAAAATATACAAAATGTTACTTGAACATGTCTGCTTGAGCTTGGTTTGTGAATTTATACCTTACTTAGAATGTATAGAGACTTTCTGTCAAATCTTCAAGAAACTAAATACAAATAACTAGTAACTGGGCTTAGGTAATATTAAGAAATTGTAGTTAAGAAAACAATTTTCAAAGGGAGATCACAGTAAAATAAATTTTAAAATATATTTTATTTCAGAGTTGTGTTGTTTTTTTAAAAAAATATTTGACCCTCTTTTCTTTTTTAATATGTGGTGATTTGAATTGAAACTATTTTCATAATATGATGGGTAAAAGTCAATAGCCACTTTATGTTATGAAGCCTACTATTTTGTTTTTTAAATAATTTTTTTAAACCATTAAAATGATAAAAATTTATTTCTTGGGCAAAAGTATTTTTTTATGTTCTGTCTTGCCACACATTAATTTTTTTTTTTGTAACTTATTTTTAAACATTCATCAAGATTATGATGAGTTCACATAAAATGAAATTGTGTTCTTTTTTTTCCCACATAGCCATGGTATAGCACACATTGTATTCAATATTAATTGCTAACTTTGCCTTGATTTTCAATATAATTTTTTTTTCATAATTAATTTGTATAAATTGTGTAATGCTAAATAAAAATTGTAAAATTCTGGATATTGAAATTTTATACTACATTTGTAGGATGTTTTCCCCCATTCCATTTTTTTTTTTTTTTTTTTTTTATTTACGTGCATTAAGTTTTAATTTTTTCTTTTGTATTTTTTTTTTTTTAAATTTTTTATTATTTTTTTTGTTTTTTTTTTCCTTTTTTTTTTTTTTTTTTTTTTTTTTTTGATGTACGTGCATTCAGTTTTAATATTTGCGTTTGATGAATATACATGAGAAAACATATCAAACATTATTAAATAATGCAACAACAACTTTAAAGTAAATAAAAAGTTAAAACATTTTTAAATACAAAAGTAAAGAAAAACTTTTAATATAAAAATAAATAAAGCATTTACAAATAAAGCATTCCAAAGATTTGTAAATGTTACAAATAAAATACTTACTACCACTACGGTAAATAAAAATTTTTGCATAATACACCTGAATTTGAATGTCGCAAAGGTTTGAGAACCTCCAATAAAAATTACTAAGAAATATCCACAGGGTAGAGGAAAACCCTGTATTGTTCTTCGTCATTTCCTCTCTTGTCCTCTACCCTGTGTATATTTCTTATTGATTAAACCCGAAGGCAGTCCACTTCTGTATCACTTTTTAAAAACACTACTCAGATGTTAGGTCGAAATCTTGTTCAACAGTCACATACATCAGAAATGATTTAATCCACATACACCAGATTAGATTAAATCTGCAGTCACCAGTCTTGATGAAATCCACACACAGCAAAATGATTAAATCCACATACACCAGACATGATTAAATTCACATACACCAGACATGATTAAATCCACATACACCAGACATGATTAAATCCACATACACCAGACATGATTAAATCCACATACACCAGACGTGATTAACCACATGAACCAGATGATAACCTCAGCATGCACCATACAGGATTAAATCCTCAGACACTTGAAATGATTAGATCCACACACCACTAGACAGGATGAAATCCACATACACCAGACATGATTAGATCCACAAAGTTCAGACTGGATTAAATCCACACACCCTGAGTTTAAAGTAAGTCATACAACAGTATGAAGTACTACAAAAGTCATACAACAGTATGAAGTACTACAAAAGTTACACAACATTATGAAGTACTACAAAAGTCATACAACAGTAAGAAGTACTACAAAAGTCATACAAAAGTATGAAGTACTACAAAAGTCATACAACAGTATGAAGTAGTAAAAGTCATACAACAGTATGAAGTACTACAAAAGTCATACAACAGTATGAAGTACTACAAAAGTTACACAACATTATGAAGTACTACAAAAGTCATACAACAGTAAGAAGTACTACAAAAGTCATACAAAAGTATGAAGTACTACAAAAGTCATACAACAGTATGAAGTACTACAAAAGTTGTACAGCATCATGAAGTACTACAAAAGTCATACAACAAGATGAAGTACTACAAAAGTAATACAACAAGATGAAGTACTATAAAAGTCATACAGCAGTATGAAGTACTACAAAAGTCATACATCAGTATGAAGTACTACAAAAGTCATACAGCAGTATGAAGTACTAAAAAAGTCATACAACAAGATGAAGTACTACAAAAGTCATACAGCAGTATGAAGTACTACAAAAGTCATACAGCAGTATGAAGTACTACAAAAGTCATTCAGCAGTATGAAGTACTACAAAAGTCATACAGCAGTATGAAGTACTACTAAAGTCATACAGCAGTTTGACGTACTACAAAAGTCATCACAATGTTGAGTGGGGGACAAAGTGGACGGGGTACACAATCTTTTGGATACCTATCAACCAAGTGCGCCAGCCCTTGTTTATATTGGGCATCCCACTTCAACCCTCTTATTGGAATCTTGATACATTTGCGGCTCGGCTAAATTTCAACTTTATGGACAACTATGATGGTGATGCAACATTACGATGTGTTTGACTGAAACATCTCGTGCTGAAGATGTGTGTACTTGGCTGAGATACTGTTTGTCCCACATGATGTGCTGATGTACGCACTTTTTTGGAAATCCTGTCTGAATTTCTAATGTCTCTTTTTGTTTGTGTCTAGTCCAGCACAGGTCTGCCTGAATCTAAAACGGTTGGTCATCATTCATGAATCGGGGCCCCCCTGGAAAAGTTGCAAAAGTTATTTTTCACGTCGCTGTGCGTGAGCTCCATGTCCTTCCGCGTCTCCTCGGGGGCCGTGGCCAAAATCTCGGCCATGTCCAGCTGAACGGTGATCCAGGTCATGTGGCTCCTCAGCTCGACGGACTTCCTCTTGTACTTGATGGTGTTCAGCCCCTCGGTGTCCTGCCGCTGCCTGGCCGTTCGGAGCAGCCTGCGCCGGTCGCAGTTGTCCTCGTTGCCTTTGTCCTGCTTGTGGCGGACCATGTCGTACTTGCCCACGTCGAGGTACGGGCGGGCGATCTCGTATTCTTTGTTGTCGATCCTTTCGAACAAATCGTCGTCCTCCCCGCCCCAGCCGAAGTACAGGTTCGAGTTGCCGTTGATGCGCAGGTACTGCTCCTTCGTGAAGCCCACCACGCCCCCGACGTACTTCTTGTAAGGCAGCTTGTACTCGTACTTATCCATGGCGACGGCGAAATGCATCGGATGCTCATCGCAGCGGTACAGGTTCCGGTCGTTGAGCGGGATCAGGTCGACGTCGTGGAAGATGAAACAGTCGAAGCTGTCCAGTTTCAACGCCTCGATGAAGCCGACGTTGAACAGGGCCGCCCTGTTGAAGATGGTGGGCGGCGCCTGCTCGATGACGAAAAATCTGGCGTCCACTTTCTGGCGTTGCATCATGGGAATGATGTTGTTGAGGAGGATGTAAAGGTGGACGTACCGGTTTCTGAACGGGATGATGATCGCCACCCGCTCGTAGGCCGTGCAGTTCGTCGGTCGGACCCGGCCACCCTTCTCGACGTAGGGATGCAGTCTGGGGAGGTCTTCCGGTGCCACGCATTCCTTGAGACCGGCCAGCCGACCGATCAGATCGTCTGTCGGGTACAAGGGGCACGGCTCGACGACTCCAGTCCCAGCACGCTTCCGTTCATTTGAAGGACGTTGTGCGTTTGTACGGTTTTGCGCGGCGGTGGGTTTTGATACCTTCACGGGGCTGGGCGCGCCGCGAGCCCCCTCGGCATCGGGATCATTGTATTCTTTAGGGTTGAGATCGTCTTCCGGGGCTACAGGGAGATTGGGTTTCTCCGTCACCTCCTGGGCGACGACTCCGCCTCTGATCTCATCCAACAGGTTGTTGACAATCACGTAGTCTTCCTTCACCGGAGATCTCCTCGGACGTCTCATTTGTGACCTGTCTGTGCGCAGCAGAAGTAAAGAAAAAATTATTAGAAATCGGTCTTCAATTAATTGCTAATATAACTTATCTTAGATAAATATGGTTATCAGGTGAGATAGAGGCTAGTCTAATCGGAAATGATAGAACATTGTATGTTGAAGATTGAAATAGGAAGATAAGTCATCTAAGAGTCTTCCTACGCAGACGGGACAATTGAAGAAACAAGAAATTAAATGGACAAATAGTTCAAAAACTTTAAGTGTTCACCATTAATGTTTTTTTTTTTACCGGCAGCTGAGTTTTCTGAAACCAAGAATGGAAGAGGACTTAAGTCCTAAGGTCAAGAAGAGGTCAAGTAGGCTATCACAACTTACTACAGCTCTAGTCATGAAGTTGGAACAATAGTTACAAATATTATCCGACCTATCCCATGTGACATATATGATGGCATGCCACATCCATCCCATGTCACATCTATTTCATGTGACGTTAATGCCACGTCACACGCGTTCAATGTCATATCATCTCCACGTCACGTCTATTCAATGTCATGTCAATTACATGTCACACATGTTCAATGATACGCCAAAGCCACGTCACAGTTATTCAATGCCACGTCAGGTCACGCCTAGTCTATGTCACGTCAGCTCCATGACATGCCATATCAATGTCACATTGATTCCATGTCACAGCTCTCCTGAATGTATCATCGATTAATATATTAAACCCGTATCTCTGTTTTCTAGTTCTACCCCCCTCTCACTACTTTGTGTCTTAGCTGTCCCGTCCCAATCCTGCTGTGGCAGTCATCCCAAGCTTATGTCTTACCTGTCCCGTCCCAATCCTGCTGTGGCAGTCCTCCCAAGCTTATGTCTTACCTGTCCCGTCCCAATCCTGCTGTGGCAGTCATCCCAAGCTTGTGTCTTACCTGTCCCGTCCCAATCCTGCTGTGACAGTCATCCCAACCTTGTGTCTTACCTGTCCCGTCCCAATCCTGCTGTGACAGTCGTCCCACGTTTGTGTCTTACCTGCCCTGTCCCAATCCTGCTGTGACAGTCATCCCAAGCTTGTGTCTTCCCTGTCCTGTCCCAATCCAGCTGTGATAGTCATCCCAAGTTTGTGTCTTCCCTGTCTTGTCCCAATCCTGCTGTGACGGGCATCCCAACATTGTGGCTTACATGTCCTGTCCCAATCCTGCTGTGACAGTATCCCAACATTGTGGCTTACCTGTCCTGTCCCAATCCTGCTGTGACAGCCAGATGCAGACGATGCTGCTGCATAATCCCAAGACAACCAGAGCTTGACCTACTTTCCGCCTCAGAAGAAATTTCGGAAACATTACCGGTACCTCGTCAGTGAATCTGTGGTGAAGAAAGCTAGTCATGAAACACAAGCCGCGCACGTGCCAAGTCACCATACTGTATAAGGGTCTTCTATGTTAACCCCTTCATTTCCAAATAAATTAAACCATCAGAATATATGAAAGAACTTATAGATTTTTACAAGGGAAAAGACGAAAATTGACTAAATACATAATGAAAAAGGATATGATTATAATATATATATATATATATAAATAATTTTAAGAAAATGTGACCACTCACTTCCCTTGGTTGCATTGTATATTAATAAACAAATAATTTTTCTACAACTCCCTCCTTTGACAGGCCCTACCGAAAACACATGCCTTGACTGTATCAAAGCACGTCTGCTCTATGGACAAAACAAAGGGCGTGTCGACTTGTTTAGGCCAAGTACCTTTTCACGCTTGGTCTCAGCCGGTTTTTTTTTCTTTTCTAAAGTCATGAACCCCAAAGGCCCATTTCTCTTGGACCCAATGGAATTCAAGTTCTAACGTTCAATTTGTGACTACAAAATGTAATCCAGTGAGGGCGTGGAATCCTTACCATAAACAAATTCCGATTTGGGCATTGTTAAGACACGAACAAATACAATTAACCTTACCTTACACGGTGTGTGTGTGTGTGTGTGTGTGTGGATGCACACGTTAAAATTTTTAAATTACCACATAACGATAGGCTTAAAAATAAAATAAATAAAATAAAATAATATTTACTTTTGTAACCACGCGAAGCTCCAGAGTTTTCCCCGGACGTCAGTGGTACCTTTTGGTATCTTCTTTATTCACGCCTGCAACCGTTGTGCAGTAGGCCATCCCGGCATGCACTCTGTCATGCATTTCAGTGTAGTAATGGTAACAGTCACCGTATATGTTACTAATCATTAGTCCAAGTGTACCAAGTGTAACTTTTCATCCAAGTGTACTAAGTGTAACTTTTCATTCATTAGAATTTATTTTGAACGGTCGATATCACACACAAAGATTGAAGCACGGGCGGGGGAAAAGGGGGTGGAGTGGTAGGTGGGGGCGGGTTGGAGGTGAAAGTGGGGGTGGGGTGGTAGGTGGGGGTTCGCCTGGATTTGAATAGCCCCGTACGAGTGTCAGATAGTGAATCGATGCAACGGGGAGTAGTGTTACAAACAGTTAAGTAAGTTTGTTTTTCTCAACGCATGCGGTACTGGCGTGGCGAGATCCGTGTACCCTCAGATGACACAGCGGCGGAATACAAGAAATGTTCTGGGATCAGTGGCACAGGGAGATACGTGTACCCTCAGATGACACAGCGGCGGAATACAAGAAATGTTCTGGGATCAGTGGCACAGGGAGATCCGTGTACCCTCAGATGACACAGCGGCGGAATACAAGAAATGTTCTGGGATCAGTGGCACAGGGAGATCCGTGTACCCTCAGATGACACAGCGGCGGAATACAAGAAATGTTCTGGGATCAGTGGCACAGGGAGATACGTGTACCCTCAGATGACACAGCGGCGGAATACAAGAAATGTTCTGGGATCAGTGGCACAGGGAGATCCGTGTACCCTCAGATGACACAGCGGCGGAATACAAGAAATGTTCTGGGATCAGTGGCACAGGGAGATCCGTGTACCCTCAGATGACACAGCGGCGGAATACAAGAAATGTTCTGGGATCAGTGGCACAGGGAGATCCGTGTACCCTCAGATGACACAGCGGCGGAATACAAGAAATGTTCTGGGATCAGTGGCACAGGGAGATCCGTGTACCCTCAGATGACACAGCGGCGGAATACAAGAAATGTTCTGGGATCAGTGGCACAGGGAGATCCGTGTACCCTCAGATGACACAGCGGCGGAATACAAGAAATGTTCTGGGATCAGTGGCACAGGGAGATCCGTGTACCCTCAGATGACACAGCGGCGGAATACAAGAAATGTTCTGGGATCAGTGGCACAGGGAGATCCGTGTACCCTCAGATGACACAGCGGCGGAATACAAGAAATGTTCTGGGATCAGTGGCACAGGGAGATCCGTGTACCCTCAGATGACACAGCGGCGGAATACAAGAAATGTTCTGGGATCGGTGGCACAGGGAGAAAAAAAGAAAGGAGGGGTGGGGGGTGGGGGGAGATCGGGGGGGGGGTGATCCGTCTGGGGCGGCATTTTTTTTTCTTTATTATAAGATTGAGAGGGGCGGCAGTTTCTGCCGACTGTGGAGTTTATTTTCGCGGAAGGTGGCATCAAAAGGCTTGGCCCGCCCCAGGTGACACTAATACTAACTTCACCACTGTCTAGGACAATGGTTCTCAACGTTTCTGATGCCGCGACCCTTTAATACATTTCCTCATGTTGTGGTGACCCCCAACCACAAAATCATTTCCTTTGATAGTTACTTTTTAACTGACTGTAGAGTATCTGTTTTTTCCGGTGGTCTAAGGCGACCCCTGGGCAAGGGTCGTGCGACCCCCCCCCCCAAGGGGTCGCGACCCCCCCCCAAGGGATCGCGACCCACAAGTTGAGAACCGCTGGTCTAGGATTTTAATTAAATAATAATTGTTAGCATCGTTTGCATGTGGGAACACTTATATTGCTATTGTATCCCTGCTATTTTAATATGCTCACATCGAGAGAGGTGGACATGGGGATATCAAGACGGTATAAAAGTGTATATTAATTAACCACAAGGTATATGATGTAGATTCAATTAAGAGAAACTTAAATACCTTTTTTAAAAAAATAACGAACAATATGTAATGTTATTATTTGAAGAATATTTAAAGGCACTAAAATAGAAAGAAAAAAATATAATGAAAAATAAACTAATAAAAGGGAGCTGCATCATCTCGTTGGCCCGGGGGGAGGGGGGGGGGAAGGGGTATCTTAAATAACTCCCCCTTTTGACATAAACGTTAATGGAAAAGCAGAGAAGAACTTGAACTTTCAAGGGGTGTGAAGTTGGTAACATAAGAGCCTTTGAGAAAAGTGTGGTGAAATGGACATCCATGGCCATATCTCTTTTGTAAGAGCTGACACGTCCAGTAGCAGCGCCGTGCGTCTCCGCACAGGGTTACACCGTGGTGCGTCCATCTTCTGACTACTGATGTGTAGGTCTAAGGTTGTGTCTTGGGGAATTCCCGAAGGAACACGAACAACACGCGCCATCTCATTAAACCTTTTCACATCCCAAACACTTTCCTTGGACCAACCGGATGTCCGGATCCAGCCATTTCCCATGGCCCGAATTGCGTTTTTCCACCCAACACAATCTCAGGAACACACCAGAATATGTCCAAAAAAAAAAAACCATTTCACAATACCCTTCATAATAACTGACATGTCACCACTTATGACGTGTGACAACTTGTTGGTTAAAACATCAACGATGCCGATGTGCAGTGTGGGATATGTAAGATCAACACCTGAAATCGTCACGTCAACGGCCGCCAACCATTGGTTTACTGACTTAACGAATCAGTGAACTGAAAAAAAGACACGCCCTTGATCGTATTGCCACACCCATGTGCCAAATTCGTGACGCGGTCTCACACCCCCCCCCCCCCCCAACATGCCAATGACTTCCTAAGTTTCGTGTTCATTGAATCAAGCGTGCTAGACACGGCCTGACCTACTCTCAGAGTTCAATACATAGATATTTCACACTCTCAACTCCACGTGGTCATAGGGACGGGGGTTGGTGTTCATTACCGCCAGGGTAGGATTTCCCATATGCGTATAGGGCCAACCTAGTCCATGGCCCTTGGACGCTGCATTCAATGGGGGGGGGGGGCGTACATACAGAAGAAATCACAACCAAATATGTACACAATTTTCAGTTTTATTTTGAAAAGGCCACATAAAATGTTGAAGTAGTTTAGAATATAGAATTCAATTAAAAATATAATTAGATTCATAGATTATAAAGATTGTATTAAATTTAAATAATTATGTTTAAAAAAAAAAGAAACTATTTGAAATTAAAAATGAACTTTTTGAGGAGGTGGGGGGGGGGGATTACAATTATGGGCTTTGGCATAGGGCCAGTGGGTAGAGATATGGGGGGGGGGGGCGGTCCGTCCCGGTTTGCACGTTTTATCTTTATATGGAGGGGCGTCGTTTTCGGCCAACTGAATAGTTTTATTCGCGCAATGGGCAGCAAAAATCTTGGCACTTACCGTAAACCCGACCCTGGATAGAGAGAGAGATAGAGATATCCCACTTTCAATGCAACGTAGTATAACTGGTTTGGTGTTTCTTATCGGGGACCCTGCAATCCCCCGTGACTACAGGGGGGGGGGAGGAGGGGCTTGTATATATANAAAATTAAAAAATGGCAGGGGGCCTCCGACAGTCACCTGGCGGCTCTGTAATACTAAACAGAAGTGCATGTTGGGAAATGAAAAACCTGAAAAAAAACGGAACGCAACAAAACAACGCATGCGCCATGGCAATACAGTTTGCACGTGCTTTCTTTTAGAACCTTTACACTCGAGGTTCAATCGCTTGAAGAACTATTTGAAGCTAAATGCATAAGTTAAACTAAAAATTTGTAGGGTATAGGCCTACTCCTCGCCCTACTCTTCACAAATACTTAAGATTAACTAGATCAATTTATGAAGAATTCTTTCCCTCAAAGTCAGGACAGAATAATAAAAAAATTCATTTCATACCCAATCCGTTAAAATTTAAAACGTACCGGAGCCGGTACGAGTGCCTTGCATTGCCGGTCCACACAATAGAAATACTTTTATCAGGTAAAAGGAGTTATATGGTACCTGATGCATTTTTGAAATTTGATGACCTGTCAAAAGAAGTAAAAAATTAAAAGAAAGTCGACCCCGACGAGATTCGAACTCGCAATCTTCTGATCCGAAGTCAGACGCCTTATCCATTAGGCCACGAGGCCCGCAGGTTAACGAGGAATTAGCACTATATATCTAAAGTAATTAATGTACCCAATGCTTTTTTTTTTTTAAAGGGTATAGATATTTATTTAGAAATAGACCCTCCTCTGTCTTCAAAAACTTAAGATATTGCTGACATCATACGTGAGAATTTTGATTAAAAAGTGGAAATCTTCAATTTTCTATTTAGGAGGTAATTTATTTTCACAAACAAACATGGAGGAACGAGATCCTTCCTGCAATCCATTAGACCCGCTTTTAAATAATGTATGCAAAAATAACGATTAGGTCCTTCTCTAAATATATAATGCGATGAAATTCGTCTAATACAAACACACGAATATTGTACAATTAGGTCTTAATATATTAAATCTTTAAGGAGTATTTAAAAGTTTTAGTTAAGCCTATTTATTATTCTCAATGAAGTAATAATTAATTATAATATACATTTTTAAGTCTATTTATTAGTCTAATTTAGCCTTATTCATATTTCCTATAATCTATATATTTGTTATTTGTATTCTACTGTGACACGACTAATTTTATCACTTTTTTTGTCAAGTTCTTCATTTAGAATTTTTCATGTTTTAGTTTTAGGCTTTGCAGTGCCTATGCTATAACTATAATGATTGTTATTTTTGCTTGACCTACCGATAAAGAATAATAATAATTTAGGTAGTTTGGTAAGATCCGGGAAGTGCCGAAAACCGGGTATCGTGATTTCGTTGTCAAAATGGCGACCTCCACTTTTTAATTTACCGAGAGTCACGTTGTTTAAGACTTTTTAACTATACATAGCCCAGCATATAAATTCTATTTCCGCTCACAACTTAGAGTAGACATGTTGTGTTATGATTAGACACTTGAGTCCCCCAAAAAATTTTGAGGCTTCACTTTGAAAATTGAAGGTAAAATAACGCAATTTTTACTCACTCATTCATATTTTTTGTGTGGAAAGGATCCTTTCTTTGAATTTCAGGTACTTTATAAATAATGGCATTAACTACAACATATCCAAGACATGCTAATTTACGCCCATAAATTCACCCAGAAATTTTAATCATGTGTGTCCCAAAATTACCTATTATCGTTAATATTCGTTGCTATGGTAAATAACCTGATTTACTCTGGACTCTGGAAATCCAGCCTATTACCCCCTAATAACTTATTTAGAAATAAAAATAAAATAATTAATAAAACAAATAGGCCTACATATTTTTAATATGATTTGATGCTTTTATTGAGGGATATTAGGTTAAAAAAGCCTAATTAATTACAATTAATAGTTAACAATTATAGTTTTATATACTGTTATATGTATACTATTAACTATATATATACCTATAATATATATTATTATATATACATAAATAATATCTATATATATGTATGTATGTATGTATATATATAGAGGCCTAGAATAGTATTACTATTATAAGTGTAGGCCTATCACCCCCCCCCCCCCAATTTTTAATATGATTTGATGCTTTTATTGAGGGATATTAGGTTAAAAAAGCCTAATTAATTACAATTAATAGTTAACTATTAGTTTTATATACTGTTATATGTATACTATTAACTATATATATACATATAATATATATACATATATAATATCTATATATATGTGTATATGTATATATAGAGGCCTAGAATAGTATTACTATTATAAGTGTAGGCCTATCCCCCCCCCCCTCCCCCCCAATAATTATTTGTAGGACCCATTATTCATTATTCATATGTAATGATATATATGGTGATTCTTAAGGCATAAATTAAGTAAAAGTGTACAAAAAATATTCACTTACCTTTGGTATTGAAATATCCTATATTTAATCACATATCACACTATTCCAAAAGAGAATTATTATATAATCCTCAGTATTCTCAACGAAAAAAACACACTTTCTGCCACAATAATACAAGAATTACATGAGATATTACTAAAATTTAATAATAAAACATTGTAATTACCTCAAGCAAATAACTAGAACTTATTTAAAATTCTATCAACAGCCAAAGTTGATTCTAACAATAAATGTTGATCTGTGAAACAACTTTACTAACTTAAAATAAATGACATATTATTTTTTGTCAAATTCACACATTCATATGGTATGGGACTAAAATACATTATATAGAAAATGGTAAAATAAAAAGTGTAATAGTATAGTCAATTTTAATTTATTGAAACAAATAATCCCTTTATTATTAGTATATACTTATAAATTTTAAACAATTCCACAGAAAATTTTAAATTAATATCTTAAGAATATTTTATTATTATTATGAATTTTGGGAAATTGAAAAAAAATATTTATACATAATTAATTACGAATAAGTGACGAGTCAGCATATTTTATATATTTTAATAGGAAAATAATAAAGATTTTTAAAATAATTTTGCGAAATATTAACAAAAACTAACTTATATATTTTGTGGTTTTATTTAGAAGTACTCTAATTAAAATATGTTCCCTGTAAATATTATATTTTTTTCTAATTTTATAATAAAGTTATGGGCCTTAAAAAAAAATCAAAATGAGGGTCACGAAATGTGGAGGAAAATCCCATAGTAAAAAAGTGCCTTTGAGGTTCCTACTAAAAAATTCTTAACTTTTGAACCACTTGAGCTAGAAAGTTGATCTTGGTGTTTTTGTAATCTATTCTCCAGACTCTATACAGCTGTAGTATTTTTATATTTTTACAAATATTTTGAAATTTTAATCAAAGTGTCTAAATAATTATAAAATATTCAATTCTGGGAGTGGGAGGCGGATGTATCAGTTCAGTATCTCTACCTAGTCCTAGTTTAGTTAGGTCTATCTATAGATGCTATGGGAGGGCGAGGACGAAAAGGAGTTTTAGTTTCACTGTTGCATTTGAATTTGACGTTAGCTCATTTGATGATTTGTCATGGTTTGTAGTTTCAGTGTTGTTTGAAGCCGAGGCCTACTCAGTCACGAGTAGAGTAGGTCGGGCTACTGCTTATCCACCATGACTGACGGATTAAAATCCCTTAGTCAGTAAAACTGTAAATGAGATAGATTTTTCCAAAAATACTGATCACCTTCCCATTTTTCCCCTCCTAACAAATAAAATGATCCAAGAGTATTAAGTCTGGAAACCTATACTAGTCTTCTTGTTTGTTGAGAACTTTTATTTATTATATAGCCTAACTATATGTAAGTCTAAGGTCTATAAAATAAAAGTCAAAAGGCCCAGGGCTTAGTTTTAACCCTACTTATATTCTCAGTTATAATTACTAGCCATAGTCAGCCAGTGTCTTAGGCCTAGCTATTAAGCATTAACACAATGATGAGACAGTTACCTACTAGTAAACTGCACTGTCATATTAGTAAATTATTGATTTGATACTTTGATTAGATGAGGGAGACTAATACTTATTTTTTGCTGGAAATTGTGGTCAATAGTCAGTTTAGACTTTAGAGATTCTAGGTTTTTTTTAGGTTGATTTTGAGGGTCATAGCTTTATAGTTTAACTCACATAAGGAACTTTCTCTAAGTGGATCATTACTTTACAGGCATCTGATGACTTAAAGAATAAAAAGGAAGCAGGCCCCCCACCTGCAGCAAGTTATGTGGCTCCTGATGATTGTAACTCATTTGATATAGTCAGGGCTACTCAGTATGGAGTCATACACAGGGTCCATGAACTTATTGAAGCTGGCTATGATGTCAATCAGATGGACCATGAAAATGTTAGTCTTCTACACTGGGCTGCTATTAACAATCGCACAGAGATTGTCAAGTAAGTAGTAAAACAATCTATTTATTTTTATAAAAATTTATCCATGGATAATATTTATTTTAAAAGTTTAAATTTTGTGTATTGTTCCTTTAAAAAAGGTAACATTATTTTAATAGAAATATGACATATCTTTTCCTCATTTGTTATGTTGCAGGGAAATGTTATAATGTAAAAATTATTGATTTATTTGGTTCCAGTTATTTTATGTCCAAAGGTGCCATTGTAGACAGATTTGGTGGACACCTAGATGCAACACCACTCCATTGGGCTACAAGGTTAGTTAATTAGCTCCATCTCACTAAAACAACTACTTCTTGAGCTTAGAAATTTAGATCATATCATTATGTAAGTAATAATTTATGCTATCATTACAAATTTAAAACATCACTAAGTAACCATAAAGTTTACCTCACATTTTAAATAACCAATAAAATCATTCAAAGTATCAAATCCATCAGTTGTTTTAAAGGTTTTTTAAAAATATAATTAACTAAAGATTTTTCTATGCTTTACATATCAATGATTCTTAAGTGTTTGCATGTAAATTTAAACAGTATTTTTATTTATTTATAAATATCTAAAAAAAATCTTATTAATTAAAATATATACGTTGTTATAATTTAACTATAAATAATATCCATACAAAATTTCCATATTTCAAGTTATTTGATGAATGAAAATATTGGATTAAGGCTGTAGCAGGCATGCTACTCTCAAGTTATCAAAAACATTTGCATTAACTTGTTCAAAGTGGGATCAAAGCTTCAAATCGGCCCTGTGGTGAAATCATAATGTTTTCTGCTTCTTGAACAAGAGATGGGAATGAATTTATTCAGGAATGTCACAAGCTGTGGGTAAACAGCCAGGTTGAATAGACTTGTAACCCCAGTTAGAAAGCCATATTTAGGGAAGAGGCAAAACATCAGCTGAAAAACTTCAACTATTGAGCTCAGAAGGTATTAGCCAACTTCACATGAAATTTAAACATTTGGTTGTCTATATGCAAAAATGGCTGTATTCATACCAGTGGCCAAAATAAATCTGGAAAGTAAACATTAATAAAAAAAATTTTTTTTTTTCGAATACTGCCTACTACTGGTATCATTGAAATTTCAGTTTTCAAATTTCGAATGAAGCTCTCTTTCTCCATGACATTGACCCTTGCTGATCATTAAAAGCAGGTTTTTAATTTTTTTTTTCAGACAGGGTCACCTTGGTATGGTTGTGCAACTTATGTCATGTGGAGCTGACCCATCACTGCGGGATGGTGAAGGTGAGAATTAAATATATGTACTTTGAACTCATACCTATCATTAAATTTGCTGATGATTTTGCCATTGTTGGCTTAATATCTGAATGGGAAAGCTTATACCGCAACTAAGTTACAAGCTTTATCAGTGTGATGAAAATGTCTCATAAACAAAATAAATGTTCGTCAATTTGTGGAGTGGGAATCACCCAATAGCTGAACTCACTATGAAAAATCACAGTATAGAGCAAGTAGAGACATATTAGTACCTAGATGTCACCATTAATAATAAGCTGACATGGCATGAACACTGCCAAATTCTGTATTTAAAAAAGTCTATTTTTATCTTTAAAAAAATTGTACCATTTCAACGTTAACAAACAAGATGTTAACTTATTCTGCAGTGCAATTGGAAGCCTATTGAACTTTAGTATTACCTGCCGGTGTGGAATTTCATAGTCTGACATCAAACACAGATTGAAAAGACCAATTAAGAAAGCTATTAATATCACACACGCTAAACATCCTTCACTTACAGAACTATTTGAAGTAAAATGCTGTTTCAAAACCTAAAATCTACATCCCACCCTCTTCATCTATAGAGCTTTTAAAAAAACAGATAAGGCTAACTTCATTCTTGCATTTTAAATTAGATTTTACATACTATTATTCCCAGGCTGCAGTTGCATTCATCTAGCATCACAATTTGGTCATACAGCCATTGTAGCCTATTTGATAGCCAAAGGGCAAGACGTCGACATGCTGGATAAAACAGGGATGACACCTCTCATGTGGTCTGCTCACAGGGTATTTGGGTATGTAAGCATCGGTGAAAAAAACGTGTTGGATAACCCTACGTCATGGTTGTCATACACTTAAATGCCATTTTTAAGTACTTTGAAGTTTGTTGAATCGATCTCAGTCCCAAGATTTTATGGCCCACACACTGAATTTCTCCAATCTTTCAAAAAAATATCTTTTATTAACTCTACAACAGCTTGTAGGAAGATAAAAGAATTGTTTGTCGAGCTAGACCATATGTAAATTGGACGGGAGAACAATTAGTGGTGGCCAAAAATAAAATATGGTACAACTTATAGCATGTTCAGTGAACTCACATTTTAGTCTGTTTACAATTATTATCACTTGCCAAAGCCTAAAGGGGACACTGATTTCAAACTAAACAAATTCACACTGTTTTATCATAAATTTGTACCTTTGTAATATTTGAATAAATAAAAAAATATTTGAAAGTATCTTTTTTTTTTAATTGCCATGTTTTTACTGTCGGTTCATTTAGTTTTGGAATGCGTACAAATTTTTTTCTTATTTTTTCATCAGCCTAAAGTGACATGAGGAAGTCCCAACAGTTTTTTTTTTTTGTTTGTAATTAAATTTTAGTTTGTCTTCTTTATTTCTCTTGTCTCTTAATGGGATACAAACAAGTGTCACTTTATTTTAATGACAAATGTTAATCTTATTTCACTATTAGTGTGACTGACAGACCTACAGGAAGAATTATATTTGTTTATTTGATATACCATTCCAATATGATAATCCAATCTCAAATGTTCTTTATTTCTATAACCCGCCCCCCCCGTTCGATTTTTTTTAATGTGCTCTTCCGATGAGCCATAATTATAATCTTGTGCCTACAGCTATGATCCAACAAGATTACTGCTAACTTTTGGAGCCACACTGAACAAAGTAGACAAACTGCATGGAAACACAGCTTTACACTGGGCCTGTGCTAGTGGAAACCACGTGGTCATAAGACTGCTACTGAACAAGGGGGCAGATATACATGCCTTCAACTTCAAGGTATTCATTTTCGTTAACTCTTCAGACTCTGCTTATGTATTTTGTTTCTGTTGCACAGCAAATTTGCATCCTAGCGTGTTTTTTGTGTGAATACAGAATAGTACAGAATAGTATGTGTGATTCATCTTATATGGACTTGAATGTTCATCAGTTTTGTGGTTCATCTGATATGGACTAAAATTTTCATCAATTTTGTCATTAACAAAGCTTCATCCTTCTGCATTAGGGGCATTGTGGATTTTAACAAGGGCAAAATTAAAATGCTGAAAATATTACACAATGCCAAATAAATTTAGTGGAAATTGAATTTTGAATATCTTTTTTCCCCATTGATTTCTTTGACTAGAACGAAACTCCATTAGATATAGCCATTGGGCAGAGCAATGCTGATTTGGTGAAGAAATTAAGACAAATGCAAGCCACCGCTGAGGCATCAAAGAAGACTTTGCTAGGGAAATATGCTGCCAATAAGGTTTGGAACTCTCTTTTTCTATATTATAAATTAAATTACACAATAAATTATTATAAAATTAGATAGAATCTACTTTGCTTATATTCCAGTAGTTTCTTCTAACTTTTTTTGGCAAGTTAAGGCAATGTTATATTATGACCTATTGAGACTGATATTTTTGTTGAATGCATCCACCTAAAGTCATCCAATAAAAAGTAATCCATATAATGTCACCACACAGGAGGGCATTTGAGGAAAAGTCTTTCCTTTTTATATAAAACCCAACTCATGTAGTTTTTTTTTGCTAGATTTGAAATTGATTCCTGGGAACTTTTAACGTAGTTAATTTTCAGTAATTAAGAAAAATTTAAATGCCACATTCCAGGAAACCTATTTTCTGTGCTGACCAATCGTCAGCTTTCTCTATTCTGATATCCTTGTTAGTGTTACTATGGTTACTCTTCAGGATGATCATGAGCTGAGCTGATATTTTAGTGGATATCAACTAGGGTTATCTACTCATTTTTCACAACTGTAATAACATGAAGTCCAAGTCTTCACATATCAATTATTTATTTATATATAACATTACCCAGAAATATTCACATTTGGAATGATAATTGAATACAGTTCATAATACATACATTTCTCTTTAGGAAATAACATGTGAAGTCACTCATACATTCTATTATTTTCTACTCATTAGACAAGATCTTCATTACTGTTTTTCCATCCATTACAATTCGGCTACCTACGTAGTTCCACACTCTCTATAATTATATATAAATGTTTCACTACACTGACATGAAATAGTGCCTTTCACTCAGCAGTCAATGAACATAAAATACCATTATGTTACACCAACAAAATCTAGCATTAAATGATACATTGCTTTTCTCCCGCAGTTTTTGACATAAATATGTAAAAAAAAAATTAAAAATCTTCGGAACCTAAAAATTTCAAATCAGTAATATAATTTTATTAAGATATGGCCTGAGTTATGCAGCTCTGATAGGCTGTAAAGAATTCTAAAATATGCAGCCTTGATTTGAATGTATCCCAGGCATAGATTTTTATGCAGATTCTCTGGTCAAAAATTCTAAGTCATAAGAAATTTTCTGGTTTCTGCCATCACAATGTGGTTGATATGGTTGATATATCATTTTTAAAATAAAAAAAAGCTCTTGATTGCTGTCTAAAAGGCCTGCCTTGCCAGAAAGGTTTGCTTTATTCTATCTTGAGTTTGATTCTTAATGAAAAATGCTAATTCATAACGACGACGGGCTCTGTCCTTATTTTTTTATTTACAAATGGTACAACTTGTACATTTATGTGATATTGATTAGCTGGCTGCCTGTTTATTTTATAAAAATCAAGACCACTGGAAAAAATTGCGCAAAGATTTGGGCAAACAGTCTGATTGCCTGCTTCCATTACATATAGTGACAGAACTGGATGTCTGTCATAATTACATTATAGTCTGCTGATGTAGGTGTCCATTCAAACAATGTATTTTTTTCTATTACTTCTGTCAAACAGCTGAGATAGATCATTGCCACATTAACTTCTGTTACAGATATTCCGAAGGCGTGTGGCTTATGTGTACCCATTTCTTGCCATCTTCATCATTGGATTCATCCCAGAACTGTCAGCTCATTGGGCTTTGAAAGTCTTAATTTTTTTCCCATTTTTCATAATAGGAAACATGATCTTTAAGTAAGTGGAAAAAAGTAACCTAAATGAATCACACCATTTCATTGATGGTCTAAAAAAATATATTTTAGAATAAATAAGTGTAAAGATTAAGCCACAATACAGCATTAACATTATACATTATAAAAACTGCTGTTTAACTCTTTCGATGCGGAACAACCAACACTGCGTTCTTCCACCATTCTCAAAAGCACGGAACAACGGGCTGTGCGTTGTTTCAATATCATGTTTGTTTCTTTGCTACTTCTCGGTTAAACTTTTTAAGAGCTATTTTTAAATAAGACTTTTACAAAGAAGAGTGTTACTTCATTGTTTACAAGCAAAACCAAGGTTTATTTGTTGTTATTTGAAGCATTATTTTGACGATTTTCTTAGCGTTTTTTTTTTCCTACTGTTGCTAAGGCTACCCTAGGCTCTAATATGTATATTTCCTAGATGATTAACAGTTAAAAAAGCTTAGGAATTTTTTTATACTATTTATTTTGATATTGAAGATGATTTATATTTAGATGCATCACGTGATTCCGATAGTAGTAGTTTTAGAGGAATTGAGTTATAGAAGTGAAGATGAGGTATGCTCATTTTACTTATTTTATTTAAAGTGAAGAAATAAGTGTACAAACATATAGTCCTTTCAATTACCTTTCATTTGATACTACGTTTAGTCTTATAAACCAAAGAATAATATTTTAAATATTTTTTAATAAACCCAACCTCTCACACTTTTTCCGCTCTTTGAAAAAAATGTACATTTTTTCGATAAAAAAATTCCGCAGCGAAAGAGCTTAAGGTGTGTGGAACTAATTGATGGTGTGTGTGTGTTTTCTTTTGGGGGTGGGTGGGGGTTGGGAGCCAACCTCCAGAAAATGCTTTTCTGAAGTTATTCTTTAAAATATTCATTAAATAATGTGAATTGGACAGAGGAAATAATATTGACAGAGTTGAGGAAATAATATTGACAGAGTTGAGGAAATAATATTGACAGAGTTGAGGAAATAATATTGACAGAGTTGAAATAATATTGACAGAGTTGAGGAAATAATATTGACAGAGTTGAGGAAATAATATTGACAGAGTTGAGGAAATAAATATATTGACAGAGTTGAGGAAATAAAATTGACAGAGTTGAAATAATATTGACAGAGTTGAGGAAATAATATTGACAGAGTTGAGGAAATAATATTGACAGAGTTGAGGAAATAAATATATTGACAGAGTTGAGGAAATAATATTGAAAGAGTTGAAGAAATAATATTGACAGAGTTGAGGAAATATATTGACAGAGTTGGGAGTATCAGATTAATAAAAATGTCGGTTTAGAAAATACATTATTATAGAAGGAAGGAAATACATAAAATGTTAGAAGGAAAAGATTGCCAAAATTTTTAGTTAACGTGCTGTGTTGTTTAGCACCATCTTGCACAACTGATAAAATGACAAGATACTTACTTTTCCCCCAGAGCATTTTTTGATGAAAACACCAGCCACATGATTCCCATCGCTATCTACTTAGCCACCAAATTTTGGATGTACTTCACCTGGTTCTTCTATTTGTTGCCATGTATCCTTGCCGATAATTACATAAGAAGTTATTCAAATATATTCCTGTAGGAAGGGACACAAAAACATCAAATAATATTTAGTTTTTTTTTTCATGGTGTTTGGGCTGTTTTGTTTTGGAGGAGTGCTGACAGCCTCTTTTTTTTTTAAAGCCCATTGCAAGGTTGAATTTTTAGGGATTTCCTTCTGGCCAACAACAAATGCACTACTGGCTTGGCTCTGTGACCATAACTCTACAAGTTTTGTTCACTTGAATAATTTTAAATCATCTCATGCGTGCTGTTTATTCATTACTGAAAGTAGCAGTTTTTCATTACTGAAAGTAGCAGTTATTCATTACTGAAAGGAGCAGTTATTCATTACTGAAAGTAGCAGTTATTCATTACTGAAAGTAGCAGTTATTCATTACTGAAAGTAGCAGTTATTCATTACTGAAAGGAGCAGTTATTCATTACTGAAATTAGCAGTTATTCATTACTGAAATTAGCAGTTATTCATTACTGAAATTAGCAGTTATTCATTACTGAAATTAGCAGTTATTCATTACTGACAGTAGCAGTTAGCACTGTCAAAATATTAGTGTAGTTAAATAGTTTGCACAGTTTGTTAGATATATTTAGAGGTTCCTGTTCATATTTGACTGAACAGATGTAAAAGTGGTGCACTATTGACAACACTTCATATTCCCAAACATGTTATCGTTTATCTCGTCTTCTCTAAATAACCACACAGCATATCTGACCATGCCACTCAACCTTAACCTTAACCTGAATGCTCCAGATCTTCATGAAAGCCCATCTTTCCATGTGATATTTGCACTTGTCACCATTCTACTTACATACAACTTTTACAAGGCCTGGCGAACTGACCCTGGTTATCTCAAGAGCAACAGGGAGGACAAGATCAGAGTGAGTTCTGATCTTTGATGCATTTCAATGAATATATAAATATTTAAAAATCAATTTTAAGTGGCTTAAAAACTTTCTTTGGTATCATTCATAAATTCAGTAAAGCTATTAAAACCTATTTTTGATTAATTTATGAGCCAAGTACTTTTTCCAAAAATTTGTTATCAAATTGTTCTCCTTTCTGTTAATGTGACACTTTTGTGTGTTGTGTGTTCTCCTTTTTTTTTAAAAATGTGATACTTATGTGTGTTTTCTATGTTTTTAATGTGATACTTATGTGTGTTGTGTGTTTTCTTTGTTTTTAATGTGATATCTATGTGTGTTGTGCCAATACATCAGTCAGTTTTTACTTAACTTATGCGTGTTACTCGCCAGGGTCATAGGCTGTCTGAAAGAATTTTCCATTCATCTCGGTCCTGTGCTTTCCTTTCCATTCGCTTCCAGTTGTATCCCATACTTAGTGTGTCTCCATCAAGCTTGCATCTCTGTGTAATTCTTTGGCATTCCTCTCTTCCCTTCTCCCTGTGGATTCCATGTTATTGATTGCCTGGTGATGTTATCTGGGGATTTACAAGAGTATGCTGTGATCTTTTCATTATGATGTCTTCAGCAATAGTCTCTTGGTGTGCCATTTCCACCTTTGTTGTTGATGATTTCTGGCCATTTTATGTTCAGCAAGAGTCTCTTGGTGTGCCATTTCCACCTTTGTTGTTGATGATTTCTGGCCATTTTATGTTCAGCAAGAGTCTCTTGGTGTGCCATTTCCACCTTTGTTGTTGATGATTTCTGGCCATTTTATGTTCAGCAAGAGTCTCTTGGTGTGCCATTTCCACCTTTGTTGTTGATGATTTCTGGCCATTTTATGTTCAGCAAGAGTCTCTTGGTGTGCCATTTCCACCTTTGTTGTTGATGATTTCTGGCCATTTTATGTTCAGCAAGAGTCTCTTGGTGTGCCATTTCCACCTTTGTTGTTGATGATTTCTGGCCATTTTATGTTCAGGATCTTTATAAGGTAAGTTTTTGTGAAATGTCTTTTTATTATTATTTGATTGTTTGTCCTTCGCACACAAAGGTGACCAAGGCTTGAGTAGCGGCCTTGACCTGAGCTGAATGTTGTTTACAGTGAGGGAGAGTTGCTCAATTCATCCGCCTCACTCTCTTGTCCTTGTCTATTTGATCCAAGACTTAGTCAAGACAACTGGAAATAGGCCGGGATGCAGTAGATGACCATCATTTTTTTGTTGTTGTGTTTTCCTGTTCGTTTTATGTGTTCCATGTCACAGGAGTTGTTGGAATTTTCATTTTGTCAATGCCATACTGCCTTCTCTTAGATGAGTTGCCATTCAAGGTTAGCGAGTCCCATCCACCTGGGGTGATGTTGTTTTTGCTTGCCTAGGCTTTTGCTGGGGATTGAACTCCAGTCCACAAGCTTGAGGCTGGCTCAGTTTAGACGGCTCGGGCACCAAGGTCTGTACTTTCTGCACGATGCTCGCTCCCTTTCTAAGCGAGCATAAAATTAACAGCTGTGTTCCCACTTCTTTGGCTTTTGTGGTTTGTTTACAGGGAGCTTAACTCCTCCCCTGGACTAGTTGCTTGACTGGACTGAACGGTCCATTCCACCCATGACAGTTTCTCATTGGCCATAAGGCCTGTAACCCTTCACTCTGGTGTTGGTGATACAGTGGTGATGGTTAACTAAGTCTATGGTAACTGAATAACTGTCACTGCCACATCAAGACATCAAATGTAATTAAAATGGATCGTCGTGTAACTTGTTGTAATTAACACTGGCACTTTATTATAATAAGATTACATTCACATGATAAATAATAACTGCATCTATGGCACAGGATATTTATGTGTGTATATTTATGTTCTTTGCTGGTCCAACAATTTGGAACGCCCTTCCTGTCGATCTTAGAAACAACCAGACACTGGAGTCCTTTAAAACAGATCTAAAGACACATCTATTTCGCAAATACCTTCTGGGCTGATTGTCTACCTTATTTTCCATGTGTTGCTGTGTTGCTCCGGGTTGAAATGGCTAGAAAGACTTTGATATTGTATGCTTGTAATTAGTTTTTGTAGTGTTGTGTTTGTTTTAAATGTGGTGAATTATAGATATGTTTTTTGTTGACTTTGTACCGCGCTTCGAGCCTTTGGGGATGAAGCGTGTTTTTTAAATGAACTTTATTATTATTATTATTATTATATGTAATATTATAATTATATTCAACTCTGTATTAAAAAAATATCTTTTATTCTAACATCCTCACAGTTATCACACATTTTACATGGCATAACATTATTAACATGACCTCCTTTTCAACATGGCTACACTCGTCCTTTATATCCATATCTTCTTATTGTCTCCCTTGATTCTACCTAACCTCAAATTAGCACACACAAAGTTATACTGTTACAAGGCCAAAAATTGTGAGAGGGGGGGGGGAGTGGTTGGAGTGTGAGGCTAACTTGATTTAATCTGGTCAATCTTTCAGACAATTTTAGAGTTGGCGGAGAGCCAGACACTGAGGCTAGACCAGTTTTGCAGTACCTGCCTGATTAGGAAACCCTTGAGATCCAAGCACTGCTCAGTGTGTAACAAGTGTGTGGCTAAATTTGACCATCACTGTCCCTGGGTGGACAACTGTGTGGGTAAGTTTAGTGTCAAAGAGCCCTGGGGGTAGAGATGTTTCCCATTTCATTTTTGAAATACCATCAACTTTGATATGTTGTGCAATTGGATACTTGGACGGTAGTTTATTTACATATCTGTTAAAGGGATGTATCATTGTTTTCATGCCAGACTTATTTTTGTGTGCTGTTTTGTAGATTTCTTTTCGTTAAAAAAATCTTACTTTTTTTTAACACACTAGCAAATCTGCACACAAGCATAACTGTTTATTTAATCAAAACTAATAAAAGAAAATTTAATTTTAAAATTATGAATGTTAAAATTATTTTACAAAAATTTAAAAATTAACAGATTTTAGTTTTAGTGTTAGTTTTTAAAAATGTAAATTTACGCTATAGAACGAAGGTTATAAATTTACCCTTATGGATTAAGGTTATAAATTTACCCTTATGGATGAAGTTTATAAATTTAACCTTATGAATGAAGTTTATAAAATTACAGCGGGCTCTTAGATGTAAACAAATTAACCCAGGAACTGTTGCATGCATCATTCTGTGGTGTGGAGCTTCTCAGAGCGTTTGAGTGCCATTTGAAATTGCATTAAATGACATAGAAATATTGATACAGGACCCCTATAAGCATATATTTTTAGAAAGTTAAGTGGATGGGGATAAAGTTGGCCATATTGCCACGCCGTAAAAAATTTTTGCGGCCGCCACAGTACAGATTAAGATTGTCGCTGATTTTTTTGGTCGACCACAGTTCATGGGTTAAATTCCCATTAATGTGTAGTAAAAAATATTTTTTTAAATGTCAAAACTCATGTTTTTTGAGGCACTATGGATGGTTTAAATTTAAATGCATAATAACTATTAAATAGAGTCATATTCACCATCTTACATTTTTTAACACTATCAATGCTGGAGGTGAGCATGTCGGGTGAATGTCATCTTCATTTTAACTTTTTTTTTTTTTTTGACTTTGTAGACGGCAGCTTCCATATAAGGACACAATTCCTTTAGTGCCATAAGGTTATTATCTATTAAGTGAGGTCTCAACAAATTATATATGATATGAATTTACTCTCAACAGGTGCCAACAATCACCGCTATTTCATAGGCTATCTCTTCTTCCTGTTGATCATGCTGTTGTTTGCTGTGTATGGATGTCTGCAGTGTAAGTTAAAGCACAAGTAGCAGGAACCATTTCCTTATATATAGCATTTGTAATTTAAAAAAAAAAATTAATTGCGAATTGGCATTTCAAGTGAATTAATTCAATCCATTTTCAATCAAATAATGAGCCCAAAACAAATTTCCACACATTGGTCACAGCCATCACATGGCTTTGGCAATCACCGGGGGGGGGGGGGTTGTTTAAAAATTTATTACTTATTATGGTTCCTTGCAATTACAACCTAATAAAGCATGTTATAGGGTATTGTAATTTTAGGTGTATGGAAACATTATAACTTCATGAATATTGGTCACAGCCATAACATGGCTTTGGCAATCACCGGGGGGGGGGTGTTGTTTAAAAATTTATTACTTATTATGGTTCCTTGCAATTACAACCTAATAAAGCATGTTATAGGGTATTGTACTTTTAGGTGTATGGAAACATTATAACTTCATGAATGATGATGAAGAGGACATTAGCTTGAGACATCGAGAATTATTTATTAATTAAAATTTAAGTAAACTGCTCATAAATAGGTCCAGCATAGAAGGCAGTACAGTGGGTGAAGGCTGGGCACAGGGGTGGAAAGGGTGCTACTGTAAGTGAGGAAAGGATGAATGTTTGGGCTGGAGAGATGGCAGAGTTGGGATGGAGGTCATGGGAGATATTGAAGATTGCCAGTGGGCTCCTTGCTAGTAGATGTGCAACTTGTGTGAGTAGGTAGTGGTGGCTGGCTTTGAGGGGGTTTGCCGAGTACCTGTACACTGCCAACACCATCCACATGATTCACTGTGTCCCCAGTTTGGCAGGTGGAATGTCCGATAGATTTCTATGAGGATGGCATTACTGGATTGGCTTACAAAACACTGAAAGCGTCACCCTGGGTGGCATGGATAGCTTTGAACGTGGCCATTCACCTGGTATGGGTGTCAACATTATTTACATGCCAAATGTATCAGGTAATGGACAAGTTCTTGACTAGAATGCAGTAAGCTTATTTAATGAGAATTTTATAACTATTTTAAAAGCTTATTTCATGACAAGTTATAAATATTTATTTTAAAAGCTTATTTCATGACAAGTTATAAATATTTATTTTAAAAGCTTATTTCATGACAAGTTATAAATATTTATTTTAAAAGCTTATTTCATGACAAGTTATAAATATTTATTTTAAAAGCTTATTTCATGAGACTAAGTATCTATGGAAAAAGCCTATATCCTGAGAATGTTATTAGTATCTATTTTTAAAAAATTATTGAATGAGCATCTAATTAAATCTTTTTTAAAAATCCTATATCTTGATTATGTATTTTAATAAGCTTATTTCATGAATTATTTTATGTGTCTAATTTTATACGTTTATTTCATGAGTCAGTATCTTTATGAGAACCATACCTATTCTACTAAAGCATATTTTAAGAGTCATAATTTTTGTCCTAAATAAAATTTTTTTCCCCCAAATTCATCTGTTTTGTTTGTTTAAGCTGACCATTTTTTTTTTTCCCTTTCAGATTGTGTGGCTGGCCATGACAACCAACGAGAGGATGAACCAGATGAGGTACTGGGGGATGCAACACATGACCGGTGATGTGACCGATGAATGTGAGGAAAAGGATGATCACGGCCACAGCCATGGACAGCACCCGAAAACAAAGATTGTTAGTCCATTCCAGTGAGTGACAAATTTGATTTCAAACAAATAGATTTTTAACTGTATCACAATCTCTATTCTGATCTTTTATGCTATGCAATGTTAGATTGATTTATTATTTTTTAATATTCTTCCTTAAAGAAGACAGTGATTAGGACCCTTCTTTATAGTAACTATGCATTTTAAGCTCAATCAGCCCAAAGGGCCTCAAAAACATGAATTGTGACATATTTTAAAATATTTTTCTGCCCTCCCCAGTCGTGGTGTGTGTAAAAATTTGGTGGACCTTATGAACTGGCGGTGTTGTGGCTTGTTACGTCCCTTGCAAGTGGACTGGATGTCCAAGTTTACCCTAGACCCTGACACTGGGCCAAACTACCAGGCGTCGAACTTTCATGCTGGACGTGAGAACTACCAGTTTGTTTAGAGAGTACTCACTCGTTAGTACTTTCTTATGAGTGACCAGTTGTAAGTTTTTTTAAGAGTGATCATGTAAAAAATAAAAAGTCATTTTAGAAAATCATTACAATTTATACATTAATGATGTAAATGCAAATTCAAGATTTGACTAATTAGATACAGCATTGAAAAACCGTGTGTGGCTGATTTAAATTTAGGTCACAATTTCCCACATGTACAAATTCAGTTTCCGTTTTCTTAATTATTTACATCTTTTATAAGTTATATACCATTTTGTAATAAATTTTCTTTAAGATAAATCTAAAACAATTTTTTTTTAAATATTAAATTATTTACAAGAGAAAAGCATTAAAAAATTAAAAAATGTGCCAAATTACTTGTAAGCTTTGAATTTCAAAAATAGTTCATTGAAAAGTTTTCCAAATTTAGACAAATTCAAAAATGAGTAAACATCTCCATCTTATTTAAAGTATGTTTGCTTGTGATAACTTATCACTAGTGCCATGAAAAAACTTGCTAACTACACCTTAAATACGATAAGTATGACAAAAAATACATTTTTGTTTACATTCTGATTGTCCCGTGTGTTTTTTAAAAACGAACTCCCTTTCGTTAAATTAAAATCTCAAAATGAAACGCTAATAAGATAGAATTTAAATATGTAACTAGTTTTATCATGAAACAAAGCCTTATGCTCACAGTGGCTTATGGCCATGATTGAAGGAATGTTTGGCACTACCAGTGGCTTGTGGTAGTTAACCAGTTGGGTTAAATTGTAAGCATTTATAATTGACATCTAAAAGTTTAAAATGGATTAATGTAAGGTAAAAATAAGGAATTATGTTTGTAAGGTAAAATTTAAACATTCATGTATGTAAGGTATTTAAGACTGCCATCTAGTTGTAAACATTTTAAAGCATTCAAAGAGATGGACTTGTGTGGAGTTGTGTGTAATATATTTGTTACATTATATTGAAGACCTTAGACTCTCTTGTGTAATCCTCCTCTGTGAATATTGAATGATTGTTTTGTTAGCTTTACAGGTTGTATAACAGACATTGGTTGTTATCCTTCTCCAAACAATAAATGTCTTTTAAATTTATATATAAAATATTTATTGAACAATTCTCACACTCTTTTTTTAATACCATATCAATGAAAGGAGCAGCTATGGTGTCAGCTGTTTAGACATGATAGTCTGGTTAATTTAGTCATATAGGACTTTGGGCTGGCTAAATAGGACATTGGACAGATAGACTGGCTAAACAAGACTTTGGACAGATAGACTGGCTAATTTAGTCTAAGAGGACTTTGGACTAGCTAAATAAGACATTGGACGGATAGACTGGCTAATTAAGTCCAACTAGCGCACTGGACTGATAGACTGGTTCATTAAGTCTAACTTGGACATTCGACAGACAGACTGGCTAAAATGGACATTTGACAGATAGACTGGCTAATAACATTTAATAAGACATGGTTTTCAGGTCATCCTGTAACATACTTACATGAACATTTGTTCCATTACAAGAAGTGGCAAGGAAACTCTTGTGAATAATTTGTTTAATTGTATGCATGACCAGCTTGAGTAGTTTTGTCAGGTCTGCTGGTGATAATCCCAATGATTTGATTGGTTGTTAAGACAAGTTTTATTTCCTCATCTCCTGTTTTCGCAGGTTAGAAAAAGTGTGATTTATGTCAACGATTTTTATATGTCATTAAATTAACAATATTACAATGAACTTGTCCTGTGTTATTCATATCAATAAACACTAATTGCTTTCAGGAGCTAAAGTTAATGTTTTTTTAGTGTTTGACCACCATCTAGTTTATTAGTATGTATTTTAAATCTAGTGTTATAAGTATAAATTGCAAAGGGCTTAATCTCTAATGGCTAAGCCATCACACAAATCTCTAATGTCTGAGCCATCACACAAATCTCTAATGTCTGAGCCATCACACAAATCTCTAATGTCTGAGCCATCAGACAAATCTCTAATTTATGAGTCATCACACAAATCTCTAATGTCTGAGCCCTCTCACAAATCTCTAATGTCTGAGCCATCAGACAAATCTCTAATGTCTGAGCCATCACACAAATCTCTAATGTCTGAGCCATCACACTTTTCAGTTTCCCTTCCAATGCCTCCTTCCTTGTTAAGGTGCATGCTATACTGACCAAATTTGGTCGAAAGAAATTTCGTCGAAGGAAAATTGATAGAAGGAAATTTGATGGAACGGAATTTTGGTCAAACCTTTTTTTCAGTTCACACGTTAAAATTTTCATCATATTTCTTTTTGAACGCGCTATACTATATAGTAAAACAAAATAATGCGTTTCAAAAAGAAATTTGAAGCAAAAGTTTAACATGTTAACTGAAAAAAAGATTTGAACAATTTTCCGTGGACGAAATTTCTTTCAATCAAATTTCAGGATACGGTAAAAAATGGGCCGTTAAAGTAATCAATGAGACTGAAGCATAGACATTTATTCTGCTGAATGTAACGAGAGTGTTGGTTTTGGTGCTTTTTTTTTCCTTTTTGGTTGTGAGTTTGATTCTAATGACAACAGTTAGCCCCCTTTCAGTTACTGCTAAAACTCTCATTACTTGTGATTAAGGTGCAGGGCCGGCCCTAACAATTGCGGGACCCTATGCGAAGCAGATTGCGCGGGGCCCAGTCTGGGTAGGGGTAAGGATAATAAATGAAAATTAAGATTTTGTATGTGAAAATAAATTTGTCTTTGCATTTTATTCATTCTTGACTAAGTACAAAATCACGATCAAATTAACTTTACTTTACGAGCCTTGCGTGTAGCGAAGTCATTACAGTATATCATCAAAATTCTGTTTCCTACATAGATCACGCTCAATAGCAAGAATTGCCAAATTGTTCAATCTATCTTCGTGAAGTGTGGACTTCAAGTAATTCTTGATTAGTTTGAGGCACAAGAAGCTTCTTTCACCAGATGCCACAGTTACGGGGATTGTTAAAACTATTCTGAGTGCAACAAAGTAGTTTTGGAAAGCAGTGGATCTTTCATTAGTGGACAGAAAGGACAAAATTTCTACCGGGGTTTTGGCGGTATTTGGTAGAGTATGCCTTAAAGATTCCATTTCATCTGCTAATTCTCGCCCACATATATCTGCTGACTGGTCTGTTGATGACGTCAATGCTTCCTCGAGGCTCGCTGTAAACTTTCGTATGTTATCCCGCTGACCCATACATGATTTTAAATTATAATGGTTTAATTTAATAATTTACATCTACAATTAGCTTGGGGCCTATGAAAGTGCGAGGCCCACTGCGGCCGCATAGGTTGCAGTTGCCTAAGGCCGGCCCTGTTAAGGTGCTTGTCACAAGCTTGTTGCCCTGGAGTTGTGAAAATTGTGGGATAAGAGTTGTGGAACTTGTGTGGTAAGAGTTGTGAAACTTGTCAGAGTTGCGGAACTTGGGGGATGAGAGTAGTGGAACTTGGGGGTTGAGCGTTGTGGACCTTGTGAGTTAAGAGTTGCCGTTTTCTACAAGACTGGAGTCAGACATATTGAATCCTTTACAAGCCCAGAAGAAAAAAAAAGATAATGAACAGAGTCAGTTGAACAAAACGATGGCTTCAGATAATGTGTTAAACAAAATGACGTCATTTGGTGAAAAGTACAAAGCAGAAGGTGATATTTACAAAATAAGATGATGCTTGTACGTGGAAAACTAAAATTAGTTTTAGACAAAGAAATGATATTATTATATATGACATACCGACTTGGTTTAAAATAAACATAATGTACCACACCAGCAACCAAAATTGTAAATGGATGTTGAATAAACTCAAGATTTGTGTCCTCAATTTCAAAGGGAAATAAGAACAGACATATCAATGTTACCATTTTTATCTCTTACCTTCCTTGACACCGGGATGTCTGTATGGAATGGAAACGTGGTTAGTATAGTATAACAGTTAAACTTGGCTAGTATAACAGGGAAACGTGGCCAGTGTAACATAAAAAAATGGCCAGTGTAACATAAAAACGTGGCTAGTGTAAGAGGGAAACGGTGTTGCCATAACAGATAAACGAGGCTAGTATAACATATAAACTGTGTTAGTATAACAGATCAACGTGGTCAGTATAACAGGGAAGCGGTGCTTGCATAACGGAGAAATGTTGCTAGTATAAGAGGGAAAGGTGGCTTGCATAACAGAGAAATTACTTTTGTCGGTAATTTAAAGATTAAACTTTCAATACTAAAAAGTAGCAGATGAAAAATATTTTAAATTAAAAAAAAAAAAAAAACTTTCTAACACGAGTTTAAACGCACTTTAAAGCAAAAAATAATTTTAAATTTCTTAAAATACATTACGTTAAGAAGTCTGTGCAGAAAATATTTTTTCATATTATTAAAAATGCATAATTTTAATTTCTACTTTTTAGTGAGTTTAAACTAGTCTTTGTCAGAAAGTCGATTTATTCATAAAAAATATTGTGTCTCATTGTGATTAATTCGATTAAAAAAAATTATTCAAAGAAAAATTATTTCGCTACCACTTTTTTATTTACAAAGTTGCCCGACTCTAGTCTTAATAAAACGAAAAATATCACTGGTCAACATTGAAATCGTCACTGACTTAAAAAGGCCATAATATGTAGTACCCTAATGTGTATTACCCTAATGTGTAGTATCCTAATGTGTAGTATTTTGGTGTGCTGAACACGACTTTAAACTAGAATATTTTTTTATTGGCCCTCGTTTTGAAGATATTTCATATAGTTTATTTCTATTTTTCTCATATATGCTTTTCTGCACGTACAACACAGCTTGCATCGTGGTTAAATGGCCAAAGACCATCGATGCCGTTTGCAGTGGCTATGGTGTAAGAGAGCCAAACTACTCCACACATGACTGTTACTTCTGTATGGTTCCTCTTCTTTCCGGCGGATTAATGAATCAAAAAGAAGTCGAGAATAGTCTAGCCAAACATTTCGCCTGCATTGAGACCAGTTCAACAAGGCGAGGGACTTCCGATTCCAGAAAATCCAGCAGTCATCATGCTTTACATATTGTTAATGAATATTGAAAGATTTAGGCAATTTAATTTGTTTTAAAAGTCAGCGGACAACACATTTCCCAATTTTTACCCACGATAATATGGGGATTCCAGAATTATTATTATAAATGCGAATCACAAGTTGAATAATTACTTCTTAAAGGGAAATAACTCTCGTCAACTAGTTTTACTTTTGCCATGATATAATTTTGTTTAAAAAACTTGATAAAATAAGAGTTTGTGTTTACAATCGTGTTACAGTGTTAGACTAAGATGTAAGTCCCGGGCGGTAATAACACTTGCTACGCCACAGCTCAGTAGTGACATTAGTGGAGAAAAGCAGTGCCTACTTAAGGCATGGGCATACTGCGCACTTGCCCAGGGTCTCGCGCCTTTTAGGGGCATCACGCCTCCAGCCTAGGGAACCCTACGTCGTCGTGTCTAGGCCTAAGCCTAAGGCGCTTCACGCTTCTACGGGCATTATGCTGCCCGTATTATTAGTGAATATTAAAATATTTTAGGAAATTTATTTTACCTTCAAAGCGGCATGACAGTTCCTCCAGTTTATTTAAACACATTTTTCGAGTCTCACATCAATTCAATTTTTTGGTACTAGTAACTAGCTTAAGTCTTTAGTTTTAGGCTTTAGTCAGTTTAGTCTAAATTCTAAAGTTTAGAAAACATTTCTTTCGATAAATTATCAACAATTTGACATAAATCCGTTAATTATTTTCTTGATGTGGGGTTAGGGAAGGAGTAAATCAAAGAGTCTTACAAAAGCCAACAAAGTTCTTTATTTGGTAAATAAAATGAAAAATTTTTTATTAGTTAGAAATTGCAAAAACACTTTTTAAGTTACTGCATTTGTTTGGAAATTCATGCTGTCTCATTTTCCCTCAATAAATCAAATATTAATAAATATAAGACGCTTTTATATAAAATTAATTTTTATAATTAATTGTTTTAAATAGCCATACAAAATTCATAGCCCCTTTTTACAGCCCTTTCTCATTTTTTTTTTTTTGGTGGGGTGGGGGGGGGGTACTTCAGTTTTAAATTAAATCCAAAATATTATGACGTACTAATAGATTGGTTTTTATATCCTGTCTTCGATAACATTGAAGGGGCAACTACCTTCAAATCACCCCAGAGGTGCCATCTGCCCTTTTTATACTCCATGAAATTCAAATATAAGACGCTTTTATATAAAATTAATTTTTATAATTAATTGTTTTAAATAGCCATACAAAATTCATAGCCCCTTTTTACAGCCCTTTCTCATTTTTTTTTTTTTGGTGGGGTGGGGGGGGGTACTTCAGTTTTAAATTAAATCCAAAATATTATGACGTACTAATAGATTGGTTTTTATATCCTGTCTGCGATAACATTGAAGGGGCAACTACCTTCAAATCACCGCAGAGGTGCCATCTGCACTTTTTATACTCCATGAAATTCAGTAGCTGCTTTAAGTTTTAGTAGTATGTCTCTATCATGTGGATAGCATGCGCTACTGGAATAGAAGCAAGACGGTGTCCACTGTGCAGCTGAGTGGGAGTTTATGTGGGTTCTCAGATTCGAGAGCTCTTCAAAAATGAATGATTCAACCACTTGCTGCAGGGTGATGTGAACCTTTCTCATAGAATGTTAGGGCAGGAAAATACAAGGAACTAATAGACTACATTCTGATGCAGTATCAGAAACTTAGATTCAATAATGTATCTTAAGATCTATTTCCATCATTCCATCTG